GTGTGAAAAGGCCAGGCTTTTTCTTGATCATAGCTTTGAGTCAACTTGGAACACCTGAAGCAGACAAGATGTTCATCGCCACGATAGTAGCGATGAAGATCACGTGAGCTGCAGAGATGCCTCTGGTTCCATACCTTTCCCTTCTCCATCACCAAGACACGGTCGCAGTTGTGGATGGTATTTATCCGATGAGCAATAGTCAGGACCGTACAGTCCTTAAAAGCTTCTTGGATGGTCCGCTGAATCTGTACGTCCGTTTCAGAATCGATGGAGGCGGTGGCCTCGTCGAGAAGTATAATCTGTAGGAGGATGACACCATTTGTGTGAACCAGCACTGCAGAATGCTAGCAGGCAAAAATAGATGAAATATATGCACATGCCTTGTGTACGCACACACACACATGTGCAAAGTGTGTGCATCTCTGCACACAAAGTGATAGAGCCAGCGGATATATCTCTTTCCTTTCTTTTAACATGGGGTATACAGCCGTGTGTAAGCTGTTATGCTAGGCATGGGATTTTTCCCCCTAGATTCTGGGCCTCAAGATTTTTCTTCATTTGCCTCAGCAGTTTATGATCTGACTGGGTATGTGTCCCCTCATTTAGGAATGAGATGCCCCTGATTGCTCGGATCAAATAGCAGTGGCCACAAAGACGATCTCTTCCATTGATACAGCATGTGGTTGCTCTTACCGTCATGATAAAACTAACTAGGAGTACAGAACGCATCCTATTTTTAAGAGGCAGGATTCCTTAAACATTCAAGGTATGGCAGGATCCTCCAGGACTTACTTTTGAATTTCGAAGGAGGGCTCTCGCCATGCAGAGCAGCTGACGTTCGCCCACTGAGAAGTTTTCTCCGTTTTCAACCACTTCTGCCTCAAGCTTTCCTGGAAGTTTGGAAACCTGAAAGGCAAAGAAAGCAGCACCAGAGTGATCTTTTCTGTTATTTGCCACACAAAGGACAGTCACAGAACTGAAGTGGCCTCCTACGGATTCAGACCTTCGCCGCACAACAAAACGAGCAAATTCGGAAGACAGAGGCGTGGGGGGGGGATATTGTTTGAGTTTTTAATAGGCCTTACTCTCAGAGATATTCATTTTGACTTTTGAGATTAATGACAAAGAATTAAAACATTCTGCCTATTATAATTTAAAAAAAAAAAAACAGTAAGGAAGTATGATGTACATTGGCTCCCCAAAATATGGACAACATACTGTGCTTTTCATAAATGTTCTGTGAAGGGCTTCCCAGATCTGGTCATCCGTGTGTTTGTTAAAAGGATCCAAGTTATACCTGGAAGGCAGGAATAAGAATAAAAGCAGTATTAATACATGCTGTTTCATTAGAGTCCATAGGACCAAAAGAGAACCAGCTACCGGGGAACAGCCATCACCATTTCAAGACCATTTCCAGGTGATATATGATCTGATTCTCTTTAGGTTATGCCCAATGATATTGTAGCGATCGCTCTGTTGAGCGACGAAATCGCTTAGCGACAGAGTTTTTGTAATCATAAAAGCGATCACTTTGTGATGGTCCCTATGAGGTTTTTTCACTTTGCGTTGATCGTGGGGAAGCGATCATGGCAAAGCGACCCTTTTTTAACAGCTGATCGGCAGTTTCAAAATGGCCGCCCGTGGTTTTTCCTCGCTTAAGAGGCAGCGAAAATGGTGGCACTATGGAGGATTTTCACTTAAAGGTGAGTTTTAAGCCCATAGGAACACATTAATCACGTTTTAATGTGTTTCTATGAGCTTTTTAATTTCGCTTAGCGATGTTTTCGCTTAGCAACGTTTTTTCCGGAACGGATTAACGTTGCTAAGCGAGGCACCACTGTACTGTCCACTATCTGTGAGCTTGTAAGGTTAATAAAAGCACAGTCTTCCTGGGAGCAGGGCAGAATTCATTGGGAACCCACTCGGTGTGATTCTGCCTCTTCTACTAGTCTCCGACCAGAGCACAGTTGGCAGACATCCCTGTGTATGTGGCTGACTTCTTTAACTTCTATCTCTAAGAGACTATTTGCTATCCTAATTATCTGGTGATCATCACAAAGCCCATCAGCTTTCTCATTTCGTGACTCCAACAAGCCAACAATGACATTTACTCAAAAAGCCTTACAGTAGACTCTTGGAATGGTCTTGACTAGAGATGGGAACGAAACTGCTGGTTTGGGCCTCCGGATGTTCTTGGATTACAACTCCCAGAAGACTTCACCACCCATTCTGCTGGCCAGGATTTCTGGGAGCTGAAGTCAAAGAACATCTGGAGGTCCAAGGTTGGGGACCACTGTTGTAGAGGATGCCTGATTTGGGATTTATTTTGAAAGAACAGAAATGCAAGTGAGGTTGGATGTTAAACAGTGCTTGGTTAGGGTTGGGACAGTGAAAACAAATGTCTTTCTTCAATGTGTCACATTCCATATCAATCAATAACTTTATTAGGGTCATATGACCCCTTCAGATACACATCCAGTATAAAGAACACAGAAAGTTTTTAAAAAGCAATGAGAAGTTATCGGTCATCTTCCAATAAGTAGGCCTTCCTTCATATTACAGCCAAGAAAATGTTACCAGCTTGAGAAAAAAATATAAGGGCCCCAGTCTGACAAACAATACATAACTGATCATTTATCAGCATAACATTGAAATTCTTGCAAGAGAGGGCTAATTAAATAATTCCTTAGTTGTTCATAGAAGTTACAAATTTAGAAGGACGTGAGACAAAAACGCAGGAGCCCCAAGCCATGTAGGGACAATCTCATCCCATAATTTCTGTGGGGCAGCACCACTACACCCCCAGGATGTGCCTCAGGTTCTTGGAGGAAAACCTGCCCTGACCTTCTTAAGTATTAGAGGCTGGGCTTTACTTTTGCAGGAAATGGCAATGGATAATTGTAACAATAGCTACCTTACTGTACCTACAAACAGAACAGGATCTTGAGGAATGATGGACAGCTTCGACCTCAGAGATTCCAAACTAATTGTACAGATATCAATGCCGTCAATCACGATGGTGCCCGCCATGGGCTCCACTAATCGGAAGAGTGCTACTGCCAAAGATGATTTTCCTGAAAGAGTTGAAGAGTGGTTACTTTCCTTTTTTTAATACAGTAGGACCCCAATTTCCTGGTTTCAGGAGAAAAGCTTGGGTTTACTCAAGTCTGTTGAGTGGTTTGCATATCTGGCTGTGGAGCCTGAGTTTGGGAGTTTGATTCCCCACTGAGCCTCCTAGGAGAACAGCTAGCCTATGTAGCTTTGGGCAAGCTGCACAGTCCCCAGGTGCTCCCAGAAGAAAGGGATGAAAACCACTTCTGAATACGCTCTACCTAGAAAACCCTGGAAAGGGTTTACTCATAGTGTGGGCTTGTCTGATAAATGCACGCCACGGATGCTATGGGCAAGATTTTGGTCGGTGGGCCACCTCCACAGGTTGTCAGATATTCTCCATGCCCTCTATGAGATCTCACCTCCAAGGCAAGCCCAAGCTTCTGAGCAGGAATCATTCCCCTGGTGCACCATGAGGAACCTCAGAGCTGTATTCTTCCTGTCAACCATCATCCTATTAGAAACCCAAACCCCATGAATCCGATGGAGGAGAGGGTGGAGGGCAAGCAGGGGCAGGCCATTCCTTTTGGTTGTGAAATGAATAAAAAAAGGTCAACAGAAGCAAACTGAAAGGATCATACCAGATCCCGTCCGGCCAACGATCCCAACCTTCTCTTTGCCATGAATGTTGAGATTAATGTCATGAAGCACCTCGGGAGTGTTTTCTCGGTACTTCATCCGATATTGCTGAAAGGTGATTTCACCCTTCTCGGGCCAATCTGCGGGAGGCTTGACCAAAGCATCCTCCTCCTTTGCCTCAGGAACGCACTTCTGGAAGATACAGGGAAGGGTCGGTGAGCCAACACAGCATTCACCTCACGTAGATGTATGCTCGTATATGAGCGTCACACAGAATAGAAAAAGTAGAATTTTGAGATTGCCCTTAAACTGTGGACCGAGGACAGCTTTTAGAAAATCCCTTTAATATATAAGCTACACCTAGGATTTTCAAAATTCACAGCCAACAGCCTCCCCAGAACTCCCTGCTTATTATGCTGCATACAGGGTGCCTTCTCAGGCAACTAACAAACCCTTCATGGCTTGGGAGTTCCCAGAAAGTTTAATCTTGCCCAGATACTTCCTCCATTATTCCTCAGCTGGATGCAAATACAAACATTTGGAAGGATTGGAAGTTTTTGGTTGAACTCCCTATATATTTGTCTCAAAGCTGCTTTCTTGCAGACTGCTAAGGGCAATGTGGTTCATGGATTCTGAAAAATCCCAAGCCAAGTTAGATTTACAGATCCTTCCTTGGTAAACTTACTCCTATAATTTAAAATATACACAAACAGAAACATTCTGAGAGTTAAACACCACCACCAAACATAGTTGCAACTCTGAGATCTTGTAGAGCCCCTTGATTTTCTGTGTTGGGTTCTCTTTTTGATCAAAAGGAAGTAACTCAAAAGTGGTTGTTGACACCTGGTTCTGAAAGGGTTCAGTCTACCATCTCACTTCTCGATTATCTTCTTCTGTTGCATTTATTTATTTATTTATTTATTTATTTATTTATTTATTTATTTATTTATTTATTTATTCATTCATTCATTCATTCACTCATTCATT